TTGTAAAAATGCGAGACTCGGTCAGTTTCTATAAAAAGATCCTGATGAGTATGTATCTGAAGAAACAGTTTTGTTACGCCGAGCGCTTTATACTTTTTTCTGCCTGGTCCGTGCGCCGCCTCCACGTGAGGTTGCACGTGAAACTGACCATCTCAAAACAGAACATCCGAACATTGTCCGAACATGGGTAAAAGTCTTCTGCCGCAAAGTGATCCACAATCGGTGAATGAGACCCATAAGTCAAAAACATGAAGGAACCCATCAATTAAATTCAGAATCACTTTTGCCTTGCTTTTGCGGAGATGAATTAGAGATATCGATGTTGGAGGAAGCACAACATCTTGTCACCCCCAGCACCGCTGATTCCCGTGGAGACTCCGGATGGGTGAGAAACTACGGATAGCACTAGTATTCTGCTCCCTGTTCGCCTTGTCGGTGGCGAAGTTGTCGCAGTCTTGAAATGAGTTGGTTCAATTGCCACGTGCTCAACGCTTCGGCATGTCGGCATCAGTTTGCCTCTTGCTCTCGTCTCCCATGTGGAACCCACTGGCTCCCTCCCAGACTTTTCACCCTCGACGACCTAGCCTCCCCGCGGAAACTCAAATCTACCTCATTTACACGGCGATTGCACGGCGATCAACCCAAGCATCCCTCCGTCTGCCAGGTGTGCGTAAGTGTACTTTTGGCTACAAATAGACTTCTCCGCCGTATAGATCATTCTTTTACCCAGGAATAAGTGGATCTTGGAAGGGAATCATCCCGATTCCGTTGAGGCAACTGTCATTTTTTCTCCTGAACGCGTCATCTCGTGCCGACAAAATACGAAGTGCTAGTCACAACGATGGACGGTATCAGGATGTTCTGAAGCTCGTTTTTCACCGAAATTTCCTGGTGCAGGGTCTTGTCTCTGGGACCATACCTCGGCTGTTGGTTCCTTTTTGCCTCGTGTCTACCTCGATGCTTTTCGTATTCATTTGTCCGGTCGACAGCTCACATCCAGGCGGCATCCGCGTGCCGCGGTAAGTTTGCCATACGGTCACCCAAATCCCCATCTTTCGCTGAACCCATCTTATCGCCAAACCAACTACTGTAGACAGGCAGATTATAATCAATGCTACAAGACACTGAGCACGGAATTTCGAGCTTGGGAATGAAGTCCGCCGTGGATGAAAGCACATGTGAAACGCCATCAAATCGTACCCTTTCACAAAACGCGGCGGGCACGGATTTCTTCCAAGCTTCACCTTGTGTGCTTCCAGCCATGCGCGTACCGGGCGGTCAGCATCTTTATAATGTGCCACAGGTGCGTCTCAACCCCAGGCTCAACCGCCCCTGGTTCTCCCTCCACCTACCTTACCCGACGTTCATTCCTATACCCAAATGTCCACAGTCCTCGGTGTCATCGTCCTGGCGCGCAACGGCGACCGTCGCGCGTTCTACCAGGACCCGAAAACTTATGCTCCGTCGCTCACTGACTCCACCGCCCTCGGCGTGGTGCGTTTTATCTGTTAAAATATTTTATAGCACCCTCTCACATGCCGATAGGCCGACCTGCACCTGCTCGGGTCGCAGCTGCGCGCCGCATACCTCACCCCCGGCTCGCCGACCTACATCTCGGACATCTCGGGCGACATCGCCGACACGCAGGCGGTCAAGGTACTCGCCAAGGCTGGCGGCGAGGGCGCGGTCGTCTTCGACAGTGCCATTGCGCTGCTGCAAGGCCTCTTCCCGCCCACCCCGCGGAATAAGATTACGCTCGCGAACCAGACGGTAGTCACTGCCCCGCTCGGCGGGTACCAGTACGTTCCCAGTGCGTGCTTCCATTTATTTATGTGTCGAAAGTTGTGTTCTCATTGTGTGTAGTGGAGACTGTGGAGCCTGGCAACGACCGTTCGCTGGAGAGTTGGACGGATTGTCCGGTACGTGGTCGTCTTTTCCGTGGTGCCAAGCACTGATTTTTTGCCGCAGGAGTTCCAAAAACACGTCGCGTCGTTCCATGGGTCAGACGCATTCAAGGCCAAAGCCGAGGAAGCTGAGCCATTCTTCCGCGACGTAAAGGACTTCGTGTTCGGGCGCCCGACCACTCTCGAGAATATCGTGCGTCCGATCGAACCCACGCATGTGAATTCTCATACTTACCTGAATTTTCCGCACAGTGGAATGTTCGTCAACCAGACTTAGAGGCTGATACCAAATCTCATTTCTTCATTTATAGATTTACGACTTTATGAACACGCAGCTTATCTACAACCAAACGTACGCCTACCGTCTCCCGCCGACCTACATCGACCAGGCGCGCGCACTCGCCAACTTCCACGAGGACGGCGTATTCTCTGACAAGCAGGCAAACGGTATCGGAAACAGTGCGTCCTTCCGTTGCCATTCTTTGACACTCGTCCTGTTGGTCTGATAAATTTGGTGCCCCATTAGTCGCGGGGCGGACACTGCTACACACCGTCCTCAACTCCCTCGAGCGCATCGCGTTCAACGATGACCCGCTGCAGCTCATGGTCGTCCAGACATCGTACCAGCCTTTTATCTCGCTCTTCCACCAGACCGACATGGTCAAACAGCATCCCGAGCTTGCAGCCATCCGTGCGTATCTCTGTCTCCGATTTTATCTCGGTCGCTTCAATGGTGTACTAATTTCATACTGCCTCAGCGAACTTCGGGGCGGCCCTCGCGATCGAGCTGCGCCGCGGCGCGCCACCTGACATGCGCGACTTCCTCCGGTTCAAGTTCCGTAACGGCACCGCCGACCCCGAGGGCTGGCAACTCCTCCACGCCTTCGGCCACCGCGCGGACATCCCGCTCACAGAATTTATATATCGTTCTGAGGTACGCCTCCTTCATATCCTGCTTCCCTCATTCATGTTGGCGACGAGAACTAAACATTCGTTCTATATCACTCCACAGGGAGCGGCTGTCACAAGCAACAGGCAGTGGGCGCAGGTGTGTGGCGCGAAGCCACGCTTCTCGACGCAGGTTGCGGCACACAGCGTACAGTTTGTGCTCGGCGCGATGGCGCTGTTTGGGCTCTTTATGATTGCAACTCTGTTCGTCCGCGCCCGTCGCATCCGCAGGGGCAAATATATGCGCTTGCTGCAGGAGGAAGATGCCGAGGTGAGCACTGAGATTGAATGAATACACATCAATTGAAACATTGGTTGCAGAAGTTGCAGGTGCGCCCTGCGCCGCGCATGGAGAAGACCGCTTTTATGTAGACGTATGGAAAGCGAGAGCACTATGCTTGTGATGAATGCCATTTTTTTGACATGTGGAATAAGGCAAGGCAGAGCGCAAACTCGACAGGAAAGAGAAGATCTAGATCTAGAGACTGAGGAACAACGGACGAAAACGTTGCGAAGATTTCGAAAGCACCAGCAAGGAATCGAACGGTTCGAACCTCGAGGTCATCGGAAATTCAACAGCAGGCAAGCAACGTCTCTTCGTATTCATGTACCACTGGTGCGCAGAGAAGTATAAAACGGGCAGAATAGACACTATCGAATTCGGCATCTTCCAAGAGGACAGCGAGACGACATATATGGTGTTTAAATAGTGCCGACTCTTGTGGATTTCGAGCAGAGTACATGGGCCGAAAAAGAAACGTCAACGAGCATGCACCAGCGAGCAATCGAACCTCAAATTCGTCGTTGATTATTCAGATTCTCGGAATAATTTTGACGAGTGCCCATACACCACGGGTGCGCAGAGGCCTTTAATCGGGGAAATACAAGTGACAGCGCCCGCGTAAGGTTCTACTTCTGTAAGGTTCTACCTCTGGGATTCTCGGAGGCTCGGACGTTTGCTCTGAGCAGAGTGGAAGAAAATAGATCTAGACAAGTTAGGCCTAGTTAGGCTTGGCTTTGCATTCGACCGTCAAAATTTGTAGTTTATGTTGGCCTGGTCATGAGCAAGGGTCCATTTTTCTTTCGAAAAAAAAGGAAGAAAGAAAACAATGAGGTGATAGACTTATGCACCAGCGAGGAATCGAACCTCGAACACGACATCAGTCATGCAGTACGTCCACAAAGATATTGAAGTAGACTATGCACCACCGGAGGGCAGAGTAGTAGAATCATAGAATCAAAGCGAGGTAAGCGCCGTTGCTTTAGTGTGATTCCATGAAACTGGGAAGAGTGCTTGCCCTTGACGACCGAGGGGGTCAATGCAAAACAGAGGGAAGGAGCAGTTTTTTTATCTCGAGAAGTGGAGAAATATCCAGGCGATTCTGCGACTCGGAGTCGTTTATTAAACTCTAAAGTTACATGGAATGGATCAAAAAGAAATCGTTCAGCTCTTAACGCACACCGGCGAGGGGTCGAACCTCGAACTCGTCGGTGACTGATTTTGGCAGCAATATGTTTTCGACGCGTGTCCATACACCACTGATGCGCAGAAAAGTGTAGCGGGGACCGCATATCGCCCTGCGATTTCAGGTCAAGCCAGAGGTGCAGATGTGAGGGAATATCACGAAAGCGAGAGAATCCCGATTTCGGTCGAAGGACTAGTGCGGAGCCTTGGAGGTTCGTTCCGGTTATCTGCTGGGAGTGGGTCCTGAATTTTTTTTGGGAGTTACATAGGTCTGGGACGCAGAGCAACAGCGGCGAAAAAAAAAATCCACCACATGACGCTACGCACCGGCGAGGAGTCGAACCTCGAATTGGCCGTTAATTTCGTGGATGTCACAGATTGTGAACAGTTTTTCGGCGTGTGTCCACACACCACCGGTGCGCAGAATACGGTAGCGGGGGTCCGACATCTGCGTGCATGTTCATGTAAATGTCGCAAATGAGTGGAGATGCAAATGATATGACACAATACCGATCCGTGCATGTCGTGGATCGATATCGTCCGGAGGACAGCCCAGGCGGTTCAAAGTGGCTGCTAGGTCGTTCGTTCGTCCAGCGCCTCCCTTCTGCGAGTTCACTATAGGTATATTGAGCATACACTACTATCAGTGGGACTAAAAATAAAACTCAATGAGCAAATGTCCAGGCACCGGCGAGGAATCGAACCTCGAACTCGTCATCGATATTGCTCTAGCCGAATTATTTTGACGCGTGTCCATACACCACCGGTGCGCAAAATACTGTAACGAGGGTCCAACAACTGCTGGCGCATTCGTGCAAGGTAACACTGCAACAGCGAAGAAGCAGATGTCAAGGGATCCGACAACAATACACCGAGCTCCGCTCCTTCAGAAGTACGGAGATTTTGAGGTTAGTTCCAAACGTCCACAAACTCGTGAGATTCGGGAAATTCTATGAGTTGTTTCTATCGATATCAGTACAAAAGGAGAATAGAAAAGGAAAAGGAAAATGCGGCATTCCACTGGATGCATGTGAATGCTTCCTAGCGGTCCCACTGTCTGCGTCTCCTGGATGCTGCCAATTTCTTGTCGTTAGGAACATCTTCGACCATAAAGTAGTCCTGTATATGTTGAATCGTGCCTGGTGAATTTATCCTTTTATCTTAAAATGGCTGTGGCGACGGGTCGGTGTAGCGTTGTTTGGCAGACGTTTTGACGTCGATCTGATGACTAATTCCGTGACGGTGTTTGGCCTCTCTCTTTGTTACCACCATGAGCAATCTTCCACCCCCTCCCCCCGCTCCTCCTCAAACTGATTTCACTATCAGAGGAGTGGTCGTCCCAAAGGGCTACGGGAAAGCCTTCGTCGTAGGGCTGGTCTACAACGCTGCTGACCTGGTCATGACGGCCGTCAAGGAAACGGTGGGGCGGGACCAGGCGGGCTGGCTTTATTTCACTGTGCGTAGCTGAGATCATGAACTGACCTGCACCAACAACCCATGGACTTTAGTTGGAGGGACTCGACCGCATCCCCGAGGAAACTCTCGATGAGAGGATACTACGAGACTTCATGCGACTCGTCCAGCGCCCGATCCCCGGCTCCGCGGGTTCTCTGGCTCTTTGGACCCAGCTAGGGGGGGTCGATCATGCAGCTCCGAGTGAGCCGCTGCACCTTCTGATTGTGCGAAATGAAGGTGTGTCTCGAGTCCCTACTCACTTCCATACTCTTGACAGGCTGTTTTTCAGAGTATCAAGGTTTGCTGTTTGGCCACGAACATGTGGGGCATTCTCATTTATAAAGTGTAGCTCGCGTTGCGCTGGGCCCTATTCAAGACCCCACCCTTCTTCGGAGGCTTCCTGGGCTAACAGGTGTGATCGTTGACTACAATCCGCTACCTGGATGCTCAAGTTCACCCAGCGAGGGCTGAAAATCTCTCGACGCTGGCGTCCCTCCCGACCCCGTCAGAATGTGCCAAAAAGCCGCAAGAGCTCTACGAGCGGAACACGATACTTGCAGGGCGTCCTTATGGCAGCCGTGGCCCGCCGATCGCCATTTATGAGCCTATTTTGGGTCGTCTAGCCGCCAACATCCGCGATCTGCGGTGTTCCGCACACCCAAATCCCCGCCCCGATATGGTGGATTGGGCGAGCGAGCTCTGCCGAGACGTTATAAACATCTCCTCTATGGAGGACGTGATGGAGGACGTGCTGGAGAAAGCGATGCGACTGAAGCTGGAGATAATACTGCCATCACCGCGGTGGCAGGTCGAGCTGGCTGGAGGGAAGATCAAAGGCCTCGGGCTTGGCTGGATGTGGGAACTGAAAAAGAACAGGGGGTTATCAGGCGATCCAGAGGCCCAGGTCATCGCCGGGTATCAGAAGGTCCTCGCCGACCCGACCACACAGGTTGGTGCACTCCCACACTTGCCCAGACATCTAATCCGACCACGTCGTCAGTATGGGCGCCTGCGACACAAGAGTCGGCTGCCAACGATTCTCATAAGCCAGGCGGGGGCTCAGTTCGACATCTCGGTTGCAGTAGATGTCGAGTACCTCCTCGTCGACCACCTTTTTTCGGTCAATCTTCACGATGGTGTAAACCTACGAGAAGATATTAAGACGATGGCGAGGCTTGCAACATGCCTGCAGGACACCTCCCACGAGCTACACGCCTACTACACGGACCTGCTCGACAACCCTGGCGGCCATGCATCCCCGGAATTCCTCACAGGTCTCCACCTTCCGAACCCAGAACTCACAGTTCCCGTAAAACTTGTGTTTCTGGAAAGGCTCTCCCGAGCGACATCAATGCCTGTGGATGGAAATAGGCCCTCCGACAAGGCCGCGAACGCACGGTATGCGCTCTTTCTTGCAACGCTGTTGAACGACTCCGCGTCCAAAGAAGTAGTCGTTAAATTCAGCGAGACATACAACGCGGATGCCCACAAGACGCTGGCGGAAATCGGGCTTGCGCCAGCGCTCCACTACAGTGAGCCAATCACTGGAGGGCTCGTGATGACTGTAATGGATCGGATCTATGGACGGACGGCGTACCAGTTGTTGCTACTCCCGAATGGGGAGACCTGCCCCCTCCCAAGATTTGTGTACGACGACGTTGAAAGGGCGATACTCAAGCTCCGCGAGAAGACGCTTGTATTCGGTGATTTGCGCCTCCCCAACATCATGGTCCCAGACGAGGAGTCCATTCCTGAGGTGCCTCACGACGATGGGGCATCTACCCGTGAACCAGAGTCTACCGGCGGAAAGCGGTCGCTGCAGGCACCGGGCGACACAGAGGGGCCTCCCGCCAAGAGACGGCACGTCAAAGTGCATGCCATGTTGATTGACTTCGACTGGGCCGGACCGGATGGTGTTGCCCGCTACCCCTCCACCAAGTCCACGGGTCCGGAATGGTCCACAGATGCTCGAGCATGTGGTCTAATGAGAGAAGCCCATGACTCTTGGTGCCTCAAAGTGATCCAGCGTGCGTGTCTGTCTGCCTGAAACCGATCCAGCGAGCCTGGCATAAAGTGTACATAGTAGACTGGTCAACCAATAAAAAATTGCTTTCCACCCTTCCTGCAGCAAAAATTGGAGGCTCACCCAGTTGTGAGAACTTGCCATGGCGGACACAAGCTGAGTGAAGTAGAAGGGAGCAAGATCCGGATGAAAGCCGCCGAATGTCAAAGCGACTTCGGAAGTCGCTTTGACAATCAAGAACTTGAAGAGACGATCGGAACGCCGCTGACAACTTCGAGTAAGAAGTCCCAGATAACAACAGATTCCGGTTACGAGGGGAGAGACTCCGTAGGTGTGAGAATCCGGGAGGCAATCAAGAGACTGGGAGTGAGCGCTACTGAGCGCTCAGTGAGTCTTGCATCAGTCACGGACTCACGGATGATAAAAATCGAGGCCCCAGAACATTATTGCCAAAGAAAATACAGGTCCAGGGTTTTTCCTTCCAGTAAGGTCCAGATTGAAGAAGAAAGTGAACCCGGTGCGTGGAAAATAGCCCAGCTGCCCATTGCACCCCGCGACATGGGCGTTCCAAATCAAGCCTAAATTGGGCGTGTGACCGTCGTGAGTCACACTGTCTCCCTCTTGATGCGCCCACTGCCTCTGCGCTGTCCCCGCGCAAAATCGCCTTCTCCCTCTCCTACTACTCCTCAAAACTCGTTGGAATGCCCACATTCAAGGTGGTAGTCATAGGCGCCTCGGGCGTAGGGAAGACGAGTCTCAGGGGACAGGTGCGTCTTGCCCTTTTTGCCATTTTGTGTGAGGTCTCCTAATCGGGATTCTTGAATACGTACATAGTACATATCCGCCCGGTTCTCGTCCTCCTACCGAGCCACCATCGGCGCAGACTTTATCACTAAAACCCTCCCTCCAATCTCGCTCAATGGCGCACCCGTTGCCCCCGACGCTGAGCCCATAACGCTTCAAATCTGGGACACCGCTGGGCAGGAACGCTTCTCCTCCCTCGCCAGCGCATTTTTCCGCGGTGCGGATGCTGCGATACTCATGTACGACGTAACTGCGCCGCCGACGTTGGCTGCGCTGACGAAGTGGTGGGGCGAGTTCCGGGACAAGGCGCCGCTCGCGGACGCGGACGTGCGGGATTTCTGTGTAGTCGTGGTGGGAAACAAGGTCGATTTACTGGAGGGGCTCGACGTGGATGGTACGGGTTCGGGTGTGGATTCGAATGCAGACGCAGTGGAGGTCGTTACAGCGGCGCAAGGAGCACGCTTCGTACGGGCGCTGGTCCCCAGGCCAGATACACCACCGTCTTCCCCAGGTCCCTCTGGACACTTGGAACTCGAGGGATCACCACCCCATTCGCCGTTCTCCGACTACGACGATGCGGATGCGGCGCTGGACGACGCGCTATCCTCTTCCGAGCTCACCGCCCGCCCTAGCTCTCCCTCTTCCCTTCCACCGCTTTCCGCGTCCACCCCAGTCGCAAGCATTCTCCGCCACCCGCACCTTGCTGGGACGCCCAAAGCTCTCCGGAAGACAGCCAGCCAGGTGTCCTTCCGCACTTCGGATGTACCACATCCGCAAGGAGTGAATAACCTGCGCATCGGAAATCGCACATCCCGCTCGCTCAGCCGAGACTCGCGCCGTGCTTCGACCGTCACCTCGACGCTCACCATCTACCACACGCCGTCGTCAAGCGTGTTCAGCGCCTCGGCGTCGGAGTATGCGTCCGGGAGCGAGTATTATCACTCAGCGCAGTCAAGCTATTCCTATAGCGACTCGGATGCGGAATACGGGAGTTCCCCAGGTGCGACTGGCGTGAATGGGTTCGCGTCCTCGCCTGCTGCGAGTGGAGTGAACGGAAACGCACGACTCCACGGAGGAATGGGTATCGGCGTCAACGGCGTGGCGACGCGCTCGCCGAGTGAGGTGACAATCACGCCCGCGCGCTTTTCGGCGTCCAACTCGGCTGGGGATTTATCGTTAAACTCGCCCACATCCCCGAGCCATTCGCCTCTATCCGGCGCGAATGGGAGGAGCAGCAACCGAAACTCTCACTCCGCGTCCAACTCAAATTCCAGCTCGGACGCTTCGGACGCTAGCACGGACGTCACTTCCCCCGCGTCCTCAAATGGGGCCACCGCTGGTTCAACGGCTATTTCAGCCACAGCCGACTCTACTTCAACCAATGGCACGAAGCGGAAGATCAAACCGCCCTCCCCGCCTCCGATTGACACGAACCCGATGCCGTTCACGCCCTCGCCTTTTGCGTCCTTCTCGTCCAACGGTGGACCT